TGACGACAAGCATGTTGACATTTGACACGGGTTTTACACCGGATGCCCTTCCTGACGCAGCCCTGATTCGAACCCGGGCCGCAGTGGCGAGAGCACTGCACCTTAACCACTAGCCTACCAGGGACGGCTAGTGTACAGTCAAAATGCACTGCAATAAAAACAAAACTGTCAAATTGTGCGTCAAGTGCCGGCGACCTGTGTGTGGTCAGTGTACTGTCAAGGTCTTCAGTGTTTGTGCGTGTTGTGAGTAAGCTGTGTGGCAGAACTTGGAGCGGAATAGGCCTGCAGTTCCCAAACATTTTTGACCAAGGCTCTCTTTCTTTGTAAATATTTCTGAATTCATGTTCATTTCTCATGAAAGCAATGGACTGTTATTATTGTAATGTTCAGTGTTTATGAGCAATGTTAATGTTTTTATCTGTTTGACCAATTTCTCATATTTTATTACATGTATTTTTCCACTAATAGTTTAACTGAATTAAATTTATATTTTTATATTGCTAAAATAAAAGAAATAAAATTCTGATGTTTTATTATTTCATCCATTTTTACATGCTATTTTGAAAAAGTGACCAAAGATTCCTGTAATAGACTTCTAATTTGCAATTATAAAGCCTGAAGTGGTGCGAGGTCAAAATAATCTCCCAGCGGTTCTAGGACATAATTGTTGGCGGTTCTAGTGTTAATTTCTCCAAGACTGTCACTGTCTTCTATTCATTGATGTAACTGTGGTGAAAACATGTAGACATAAAGACAGTGAAACAGGGCAAAACATTGTTTTGTTTCATAAACACTGTTCCAGATTGTCTGTATACTGTAACTGTACCACTGGCATGTCAAATGATAGTATCTCTGAGTTGCTTTACTCATTCTCCATATAGAAAAAATGACTAGCTCGGGTATGTACAATAGTCTAAGTACTATAAGTTTGTAAATAAAGAACGTGAAAAATAATACAAACTGTCTTAAAGATGAAAGGGTGAGATCAGTGCTGGACTATAGGCTGATTACACAGTCTGCATAAACTATATATGAACCCTTTATAATTTTACATTTATACTTTATTCATTTTGTTATACTGGGAATATAACAACATGTAGAGGTCAAGGTGCTGATGAGTTAATGGTAATGGGCTGACATGCAAAAAAAAAACAACCACACACAGGCAATTTAGAGTCACCAATCAACCTAAGCTGCATATCTTTGGACTGTGAAAGGAAGCCAGAGTACCCGGGAAAAAAAACCCATGCAGGCACAGGGAGAACACACAAACTCTGCACAGAAAAGCCCCAGGTTGGTCTGGGCTCAAACCTGGAGCCTTCTTGATGTGAGGCAACAGCACTAACCACTGCATCGCTGTGCTGCCCAGAACTGAGCCAATAGGTGAATAAATATCAAGTAGGAAGTCAGGTGACTATAAAGGATTTGATTTGATTTGATTTATTCTTTCAAGCATGTAAAGACAGTTGATATGTCAACACACATAATTTTACACATATCCAACAAATGCTAATCCAATATCAATGTGCTTATACCTAGAACATGCTTGAATGGAGTAGGAAGAAGTCAGACTTATCCAGTCCTACCCCATGACATCATCTTACCATCATTGGTTTGCAAGCAGTATCTCTACATAGATAATTCTCTTCTACACCACACAAGTAATATACTAAAGAATTATTACAAAGTGTTAACATTCAGCATAATGACAAACAATGGTGAAGGTACCGTAGCATTGGAGATCTTGACGAACACACATGCATGCATTTGTCCAACCCAAGAGCACTGGGTGATTTGCTTCGAAAACTGATTGATTACATTTCATCCAAAACACTTCAGGACTCACTTGAGGACTGTTATGGTCAGAGCATATTTCAGAACTGCTGCATTATTATAGATGTAATAGTTCGCACACATCGCCACACAATAATATACACACTATGAGTGTCTCATCCTCTGTCTGCTACTATTATCTGGTATCTGGTGTCTGGCTATCTGGTAATATTTTAACTGTATGCAATGAAGTTAAGTATCTGGGTCATGTTATAAATGATTGTTTGACCGATGATGGGGATATGTATCGGCAGTGCTGTATGTTGTATGTGCAAGCAAATATATTGGCGCGGAAATTTGGTTCATGCTTGGATGGGGTAAAATTGACTCTATTTAGAGAGTGTTGTTCCTCTTTGTACACTGCCCACCTATGGACTAATTATAAAAAAGGCTGTCTTCGGAAATTGACTGTGGCTTATAATGATGCCTTGAGACTATTACTGAAAAGGCCCAGATGGGTGAGTGCCAGTGTACTGTTTGTGTCACTACGAGTTAGTACTTTATCTGCTGTTTTAAGAAACCTGATGTATAAATTTATCTGTCGCTTGAATAGCTCTGAAAACCACATAGTTTTATTGTTGACTAACGCTGCATATAGTGACATGCGATATACATCAGTACTCTGGAGACACTGGTATACTTGCCTCTTAAAGGGATAGTAGTGGACTGGTTGTTGTTTTGTGGTGGTTTTTTATTTTTTTTATTGTTGTTTTTTATTGTTTGTTGTTTTTTGTTGTTCGGAGTTTGGACCTCAAGTCTGCAATAAAGTTTCTATCTATTACACCAACCCAGGCCAGGTTTAGCATGTTTCACACACACAGACAGCTAGACAGCTAGCTAGCTAGCTAGATACTATCTCTCCCACTCTCTACTTCCCCCTCTGTTTCCTCTCCCCACATTCTTGTTGTTTCTTTTCATCCTGCCTCTTTCAAGCTGAGTTCAGCAGTCAGCCACATCCCAGAGAGACATATTGAGGTTAGAAGTATAGCAGGCTGAAGAGGGGAAATGAAAAGAGAACGAGAGGGGGGTATGGTGTCAGCAGGTAAGGGGGTTATAGGTAGATTTCTGACAGAAAAAGTCCATAGATAGATGATAAACTGGCATATTCCAGCCAGAAAACATTTGAGATGATGACAAAAGAAGGGTAAGAGAAAAAACAAGTGAGAATTTATAAGCATAACAGAAGAGAAAAAAAATCACAGAACTGGTTAAGACCTGATTCTTAGTAAAACTGCCAAAGTTGTTAGTTTATTTCAACTGTGCATTCACACTTAGTTAAAACCAGGCTAATTTCTACTACAGGGTAAAACAGGGCTAGCCAGATTTCCATGGCAAGCTTGCAGAGAACTAAATAACACAATTTGAGTTTCCATTACAGGGCCTCACAAAGTGTAGATGCAGTCAAAATGCTAATGTAGTTTCCACTACATCTCTATTTCCACTACAAGGAAAGCTAAGCTAAGCTGGCATTCAGGTGACGGGTGTGCTACTTTGACCCAGATCCAGTCTGCTTTCCGTCACAATTGTCACTCTGAATCTGCTAAGCAGTGTCAGAGCCTGCAGGGAAAACAGGCTAGCTTGCCTTCCATTTAAAGATAAGGGTGGTGATTTTCTGTGTTGCTGTTATTTTCCAGAAATCCCATACAGAGCCTAAAACCAACAATGGATTTTGTAATTTCTGTGAATCCAGAGCCTGGAACCTGGTTTAGCTTATCCGTGTGTGCCATTATTTCCACCGCTCTCCGAACACTATAAAAACACACTGCTGCACTGGGTGACATGCTTCTTCATAAAATGTGGTGGAGTCTGTCTTTTTTCAACAAAGCACTCCAAACGCTAAAAACAGCCATTATATTGTACAGAATCTGAAGTAAGAGACATCTGTGCATGAATGTAATCTTGGCTCTATTTGCACCACTTTGCTAGTTCAAACTACACATCACAGTGTTAGCACCTCACTTATTTCTTGAGGAAGATGCATGTCACTCATTGCATCGGTGACTGTCTTTATAAGTTTTTAGACAACTGTGAAGGTCTGTGGTACAGGGGGATTAGCTAAACCAGGTTTTGGATTCACATGTACAGTATTATAGTAAGTACATGAGATTTATAGTTGGCTTTAGTCTCTGCGTGGGATTTGTGGAAAATAACATACATATAGAAAATCACTAGCCTTATCCTTGGTGGTCCTGCTTAGAACAGTTCAGCGAACAGTCTAAAGAGAAGCAAATCTGAATTACATACAAGCATCAATAGCAGACTAATTAAAGAAATATGCTGACGTTCACACAAATAAAGTCATTTCTTTTTCATGCAGAGCTTTTGATGAGAAGCTGTATGAAGCTCATGGATGTACTAAGGAGAAATGGATACCATGTTTAAAGATGGCATGTCATTCACTCTATGAAGGCTGCTCACTTGGCAAGTCCACTATGTTTCTGCAAGCTTCCTCATGTTTTCATGTTTTTGGGCACACAGATAGTGCTCATTAGAGTCTTTCTCCAGTGGAGCCATCTGAGGGCATGTACATCTGAGACGACAGCAGTCTGAGCTGGCTGACTTCCTGTTAGCTCCCCTCACACATGAATGGGATAAAACAAAAATAATCATACACCTCTTGTGGACTCTCCAGATGCTACTGCACCAAAGAGACTATTTCAAGGGGGGTATTCACCATTTTACAGCCGCTCCTTTTTCAATGATCACTTCAAAGCCCAGCTTGAGGGCTTGATGTAGAGCCAGCAGCCAATTAGCTTTGTAGGTAAATACTGAAAACAGGGAGAGACAGCTAACCTGGCCAAAGGTTAAAAAATCATCACTAGCAGCAGTAAAGCTCACTAATGAATACATTATACCTTGTTTGTTCTATACAAAAAGTGACACACAGCTGTTATTTATATGCTGGAACTCTTTTCAGCCAGGTGTACTGACTTAACATAAAACCACTGTTTCTTATTTAAATTTTTTTTACACTTTCAGATGTCATGGCTGAACTGTTTTGTGCTATCTGTAGCTTCATTTTTATCATACAGACATGATTGATAGTGGCATTCATTTTTTCCTCTAACTCTCAACAAGAAAGCAAATAAGTGAATTTCTCAAAAAGTTAAACTATTCCTTTAAGGAAATCTATTTAAAAACTGATTACCAAAAAGAAAGTACCTTACCTTCTGAGATGTAAAAGCAGATAACCCTTGGCTTCAGGAGTCACATGTTACCATAGCTACAACATCCTGGATGAGGGTCCAGCCAAAGGTCTTCTGTGTTTTCACTCACTGGAGGGCAAGGGGGAAAAAGATGAGTGAATTAGTATTAAAGCTTAGAAATCAGTAATTCACAAGAAGTGGGCAGAAATGATACTTTTAACGATGTGAATCGTGCCCTGTATCTACACACCACCTTTTTACAACATGTTATTTGTATTTGTAGTGACTCAAAAGCAGCCCACTTATCAATAAACTACTTGGCTGGCCTTTACTGTAAGTGAAGGGCAAGTGCGCAGCACTGAGCCAAGTGAAAGTGTGCTACTGTAAGTTGAGAGCATGTCTTATAGACTGAACCCATCCACAGGAAATCTTCTCTCACATACTGTTGCCACAGGATATCAGTGAATTGAACCACCCTGACCATTGATCCAAAG